GAGTGTGACTTCTCAGGGAGGGATATAGGAGTGTATGTTTATATGAAAGATCCCCTTTAATTTTCGACAAAGAATCATCCCCTAAAATTTTTCGCGCTTATTTAGAATCACCCTGTATAATGTTCCGGTCAAAAATGCGACACACCTAAATTTCGGCGTGCTCAATGATCCTAGAATAAATACGTCTATCTATAACTCGATGATAAATGCGAGTTTTGAGCGTTTCGACCTTGTTCATCTCTGGTAAAAGCGGAAGCCCGTTCTTCACGCGATGAAGGGAGAGCCGTTTCCGGGCTGCCATCGAATACTTTTATTTGGGATTAGAAACGCGGATAGTTTTTAGTCCGGTAAATAACTCGTCTTGCAGAAACGCGGAAAAGAGAGAGAAAGAGAGAGAAAAACGAATTCTCTTCCTGTTTCCCTCTCTTTTTCGGTGACCCACGGCGAATAAACTGCGCCTCGCAAATCTCTCGTGAAATTATGGCTCGGATGCGATACAGCTGGTAAAAATCGCGGACGATAACTCATAGTCGCCCGCGCGTTCCGGCAATAATTTTATCCGCGGACTCTTCTTTCCGCAAATCGCGATTCGGCGATCGACGATATAGAACGTCGAGATGAGCCTCGATGAGCTATCATGCGAGATGATCGAGATAGCTTGAGAGAAATACCTTTACAATTTAGAGCGCCTTAATTTAGTATAATTGTGACGTATATTGTATGCTTATAATTCGCAATTTCACGAATATATCCTAAAATTATACTCATCAAACTCGCAGTTGAAGTATTAGAAATTGATGGTTCAAACACCTGCGAAACACCTGGCTCCACATTACCGATTAGAGCGATAAGTATTCGTACACCTATATATATTTCGACATTTGAAATAAATCCGAAATATATTTAAACGCGAAGGAACTGAAAGACCGGTGTTTGAGTCATGTCCCGAGGAATAATTTGAACCCTCATATGAGTAAGTTCCTCTCGCTCTTTAGGTTCCTGATAACGAGCAAAAAACCGGAGCGCACGTAGTGGATTAGTCGGTTGTTAAAATAAATAGACGCTCGCGGCGCAAGTACCTTCGGGGGAGAGAATTACGGGAAAGAGAAAGAGAAAGAGAGAGGTAGAGATGGAGAGAAAGGGCTCGGAGTTTCTCATCAGCGAATTATCGTGGAGCGAGAATTCGAGGGTGCTTTCGGGAACCTCGCCGGAAACCAGAAAAGCCGGTGTGGCGCCCAGCTATAGCCGCGATCGATGTACAACTAGGCTCTTTCCAGTTTCGGCTCAATTCCCTCTTGCTCTCCGGAGAGACAGAGAGAGAAATGGAGAACGGAGGAAGAAGATTCTCGTGATAGGCTTTCGTCCTGGCGTGGCCTTGACATCGCCGTCAAGGCCCGTCATGACCCGATATCGTGGCGATTTAAAAACTATTCTCTCCAATATACAGGATGTTAAAAAAAAGGGTCACCTATTTTGAGAGCAGGTAGTATTAATCAAAATAAGAAAAAAAAATTTAATTAACAGAGGTAACACAACTAATAAAAAAAAGACAAAGAGCTCAAATAGAAAGATAGCCTGTATCTTCGAAAATATTAATTGTAGGACTCATGTTAATTAGACTTTTTTTTTCTTGTTTTGATCAATTCTACCTGCTCACAAAATATGTGACCCTTTTTTAAACAACATGTATATGTAAGAGAAAGATAATATTTTATTTTGAAAAATATCTCTTCTTCGTTATTTATTTTTTTTTTATAATAATTGCGCTAACTTTCTAAAAAGTACGTAGAAATTTTTGAAACCGCCCGCATTTTCTTTTTTTTTTTATATTTTTCTGTATCAATTCTTCTCAGAAAGGATTTCATTCCAGGGTGTGATAAAATATGGCCATTCGCTTGCGTTATTAAATTTAATGAATAATAAAAAGAGATGAAGATATTATAGGGATAACGAGAAATTTTAATAACAGTGCGTATCACAGGAGAGTTTCCGCAGGTAAATTGATTTTTAAACGATGCATGGAGTGACATAAGGGCGATCGTTTAGCAACTTGACGAGCGTAACCAAGGACCAATCCAAGTCCGGCCACGTGCATATAATATTTTAAGGGTTGTCCGATGAACGAAGTTAACACGCTGCGGGCTTCCCGGGTTTCGAGCGAGTTTACAACTTCCGGCCTAACTTCGTCGGTTTGAACATATACAGTGAAGAAAACGCCCGCCAGAAAGAGAGAGAGAGAGCTTTCCCGGTCGGCCAGGCTTCCTCATCGTGTTTTATCGTTATTACAAGCTCCTTCAAAGCTTACGACTCTGTGCAGCGGATAACGTTCTTCGTCTCCTTCTCCTTTTCCCTCATCAACCCCTTCGTCGTTCGATCAACTTCCACCCCGCTTCGCTAGCCGTCGAAAATGACACGTCCAGGTTGCACCATTACCACTATTGCCTTATCCCGCGTTTCTCCTCATAAAGAAATTTCGTTACGTTGCTTATAGAAAGTCGACGTCGTAATTTTACATCGTAGGGACATAAAAATCGTTAATATCGTTACAATGTCTAGTTGGAAAATTTATGTTCTCTTGTTTAAAAATACGCCGGTTAAAATTTTTGTGTTAAATATTTAACACATTCATGTGTTAATTTAACATATTGCTATTGTGTTAATTGAACTCAAATGTTAAATTATTAAAATAACTAAAAAAAGTGTAAAAATAACACAATGTGCACATATTTTTAATTTTACACACTAAATATGTTCCGTATTAATAGTGACAGGGTTTATCTGTTAAAATTTATAAAAAAAAATGTTGGTTTTATTTTACAATAAGAATGAAAGTGACTATAGACCGTCAATAACTTTTCTTTCAAATTAATTTTATCATTAAAAATATGTTGATTTTACGCAAAATTTATTTCAAATTACTATAAAAATTTGCATTCATTTTGTGTTGAAATATTAATAGAATGTCACTATTTAACATATCCATATTATGTTAAATTAATCCAAAAATTTTTGTGGCTCGTTTGGGACATGCGATATATGTATGTTAAATATAAGCCAAATTTTTCAACCGTGTTCGCACAACCAGATTTCGATATTAAACGCCTCGTTAATTAAGCCTGGAAATTGAATTCTGTTGAAATTTGCTTGAAAATCGCCGATGAGATGAAATTTTGCACTTTAAATGTATCTCTAAAAAGCACTTTATATATAAACGTATTCTATTTATAAAAAATATCTCCCGTTAAACACATCTAGTATTATTAGCAACGAAGTTATATGGTGACTGTCTCTAAAGCAGAATTGTCATTCAAATTTCAATTTTAAAAAATGTGAAATTGAATTGTCATTCAATTTTATCATCCAAAAAAAAAAAAAAAAAAAAAAAAAAAAAAAAAAAAAAAAAAAAAAAAAAAAAAAAAAAATAATTTTTTAAAATCAAAAAAAAAAAAAAAAATACAAAAAATACAAAAGCAATGTAATTTTGTAATCTGTAACCAAGAATGATCGGAGTAAGGCAGCTAGGATGAGCTCATTATTAAGTATATCACCTTACTGGATTTCACGTTGATTCGCACCATTCCGGTATCATGTTCCAGATCCTCGAGATTACTGTTTTCCCTTCGTAACAACATTTTCGCTATCTCGAAAAATCGCCGGCGTTACGTGCGTAAACATTCTCCTCATCCGCGTATCGCGCCATCGCCTCGCGCATTATTTCGCTTTACGACATTTTAAATTGTCGCTGATATAACGGTGATATTATGAAATTGCGAGGTGGTATCGCGCGACAACGCGACACGCGCGTATATGTATATGTGTATATGTATGCGTCCTTCCGAATATCGCTTGTGTGCGCCACCAGCGATTGGATTTCCCTTTCGCTCTCTCTCCCCCGAATGTTCCGTTCCCGCGGCAATTCGCGACTCCCTCGTTACCGTGGATGCCTAACGTTGTTTTACGACCGATAAAAGCATCCCTCCTCCCTTGTCTGCCGGTGGCGTATCGTTTTTACCCGAAGCTGGCTGGGCTGGTTGCTAGCTGTCGCGCAGTGTCTGTCGGATATTATGTACGTGAGAAATCATTGAATTCGCGTATAAACAGCATATGCATTAAGTAATT